AAGCATTGGAAAATCAAACCCCTTACCTTAAATGTTTGAAATGATTTTTGATGTTCCAACCAACCCAAAACCCAAGTTTTGTTCTTCTTGTTCTTCTCTTCTCCAAGACTCTATAGCTCTCTCTATGCTTCTAAGTGTTCTAGTGTTATGACACAAAACCAGGAAATGATGGGTTTTGTTTGTTTAGATGCAAGACATAAGCTAGCAAAATACCCAAAAAGCCCTTGGTCTTACTACTAGTTATAACACTAATAATAATAAATAATATTATTAACCAAAATAATTAAAATAACTCTAAATAATTAAAATAACTTCAAATGATTAAATATCGGTCCGAATAATATTTTACCGAACCGAACGGAATAAAAACCGGTCCCACAAAATAAATACCAGACCGAATAAAATAATTATCGGTCCCTCAAAATAAATACCGGACCGAATAAAATAATTACCGGTCCCTCAAAACAAATACCGGACCAAATAAAATAATTACCGGTCCCTCAAAACAAATACCGGACCGAATAAAATAATTACCGGTCCCTCAAAACAAATATCGGACCGAATAAAATAATTACCGGTCCCTCAAAATAAATATCGGACCGAATAAAATAATTACCGGTCCGAATAAAATGTCGCCGAATATATTAACAAATATACCGGTTAATATAAATATTCTCGTCGCAAAAATAAACGTCAAACGGTAATTCAAAAATATTAATATAATATAACATTAAATAAAATGGAGCGTTACAGCAGGCCCAATCCATATATATATATATATATATATATATATATATATATATATATATATATATATATATATATATATATATATATATATATATATATATATATATATATATATATATATATATATATATATATATATATATATATATATATATATATATATATATATATATATATATATATATATATATATATATATATATATATATATATATATATATATATATATATATAGTAAAACTTATTCAAATTTTAAAGAATAATTTGATTTTTTTTTTAAATATCAGTGAAAATATATTTATGAATTTTTATTTTTTCAACAAAATTTAAATCATTAAACTAATATTTACATATTAACTCTATTTTAAACAAAATACTTGGTCATGTCTCAAAATAGAATTACTTGACATTATAATGAAATACCTTTTAAAAAAAAATACTTATGCAAAAACTAAATTATTAGATACGATATTTGATAAAGTAAAAAAATAATATTTTTTTCAATTAAAGCTAAATTGTAAAAATAAGTAAACAAATGTAATGCATAAACATTCATACTAATTTACTACTAATACTTAAAATAATTTTTGTATTTATAAAATTTAATAATTCTTATTTATCAGAAATACAAAGTTTAAAAAAATAATTGATGGTTGATTAAATAGAGAAAGTCATTAATACTTATCCAAACATTTAAAAAAATAATTGATGACTGATTAAATAGAGAAAGTCATTAATACTTATCCAAACATGTAAATTTATTATCAATTGTGTGCGTGCGTGCGTGTGTGTGTCAAATAGTGTCATTTCTTCATCTAATTTATTTAATGTAACATAACAAATAAAGAGAATTCTTATCGTCACACAATCATATCACTAAATTCTGCCGCCAATAGAGTCACCTGAACTGATAAGCATCACAACTTTTCATTCTTTTATAATATAATAAAAGATCATTTCGCGAGGTGGGGCACAATACTAATAGCTCTTCTAACTCATTCACCTATAGAGCGATTCATAAGAAGGGAATATGTGCTCAATAAATTAGATATAAATGTTACAAATAGCATTCTTCTGATTTCGTTGAGACATGTTTGTTTAATTCTGGCATTCTTTTCTTAATTTTCTGGCAATTTGGAACCCCTTCACTAATGCAGACATTTCATCGAACAGTTAGTAGGCTATTTTACACTAATTAATTTGATATTCATAATGATATTGAAAAGAAACATCGATTAAAATGAACAACTAAGATTTAGAGTAAAATTATAAGTTGAGATTAAACATAAAGAGATTTGTACCAGTAACAATCTATTATTTCTTTAAGCTTCAGTTCCTGAATTAAAGAACAAAAAACTCATAACAAATTAATCAAAAGTTATAACTTTAGCTTTCCCTTCATCAGCAATAACAGAGTTCTGACGGTGGAGAAGCTGAAGTTGGTTGAATTTCATGAACGGAGAGGATGGAATATACGATTAGAGCAATAACGAATTCGCCAGAAGGAAGTTTATCGGTATTGAAAGAGGTAGAGGAAACTTCACCCTTCCGTCAACGATTTGTCACCAACATCCATCATCTTCCCCCTTGTTTTGAAAACATAAAATTAATATAAATCAAGATAGATATTAGATTCACATTTAAATTGTAAACTTCTACTCATTTGCAGATTGAGGGCATGAGCACATAACATTCACACAGACATTTTCACAAACAAATTGTGGATAAACTTTAATTGCCATATCGAAAACGGGTAGCAAAATATCCTAGAAAACAGACCACTGCTCAAACAGACCACTTAACGATCCTAACAAAATGGAAAAGAAAAGATGAAAAGAAGAAAAAAATACGTTGTGATATAGAGTCGGTGAGTTCGTCGGTAGCAACATGCGACTTTTGTTCTCCTTCTTCTCTTTTTTCATCAGTTTTTGTATGTTTGTTGAATTGAAGTTGTTGTTGGGATCTGGAAATACTTGCAGGTTAAAGCTTGATCAATTAGAGTATCGAAGTGAAACTCTAACCGATTCAGTGGTGGAGCTTTAGTGCGGGTAGGGAGGATTTGCCGTTGTTGTTTTTTTGAATTTTTTTTACATCCTCTAATAAATTTTTTGGCTTGCTAGCTTTTATAGGGAGAAAATATGATTGATTATTAAATTGGATTAATTTTCTCATGCATATATCGAGCAATGTGACATTTATTTTTTCATTTGAAATTTGGAAAGCCACTTTTAAATCCTATGTTTGTTTTCTCAAAAAGAGACTTTCCGTTCGGTTTAGAATAAATAAAAACAATTATGCTTTATTTAGAGATTGAAATAAATAAAAATATAACAAAAATATAATATGTTGACACATCATTAATATTTAATGTTAAATCAACCTAGTGTAAATAATGTAACAAAAAATCTAATATATATCTGAAATCAGAAAAATTTAGACAATTAATTAGAAGATTATATGTAATATTTTCAGATACTTTAATTTTTATAAATTTATAATAAATATGTAAATATGACACACTCTAATCTTGCACTCTACTCTAATCATGATCAACCATTGAGAATCAACTAATCCATACTTTTTTATTTAAAAATCATAATTATAAGTCCTTGCAAGGAAAATGGTAGCCACTACTAGTTCAGAATCTATTTAACTAACCCACTTAACATGTTGTTTACGAGCCAGGCTTAACTCTAAAAAGTAAACTTCAAAGTTAGGGCCAAATAACATTACAAATCCGAACATTATAGACTAGTGATAATGAAGGTTTTGATGAAATTCCCTATTAGTCTTCCACACGATCCCTATTAGTTGGTAGCCATTAACATTGACCTTATTTGAATTCTATGATTGATATTAAAAATCAATGTTTTGTCGTTCTTAATTACTCCTACTCACTCCATATATTCTACAATTCGATTACAATATGAGCGCACGATCTCATGCAATCTATACTAATCAATTCTTGATAGATAGGAGTAGGACCCTTATTTTGGCTTGGTCTATGACTCTATGACTCTACTACTATGTTCAACTAAACACATCTACAAAAACACATGTCCTCTTCATTTCACATCTATTTTGTTTTCCCTCCTTTTTTCATGTTTCTAGTCTAAACATGTTAATTAATTTTCAGACCAAGCAAAATCATTAATATTATATGTAGACACGCTATATAGAAAGCAAAAAAGGCGTTGCTGTTTTTATAAATTCATGAAAAAAAAGAGCAAAACGAAATTAAATGTGACACAGCTGGCAAGAGTCAATGGATACTGATAAACGAGCTCAACTACATATCAATGGTTATTTAATTGCAACACGTGGCAGGTGTTGTTACTTTTTGTGAAATGCCATTTATATCACTCTTCTCCTTTTACCTTCAATACTATCACCTATTTCTTGTGTTAAAAAAAGACCTAAACACAGGAAGAAAAGGGGCATGTTTTCTTATGTCATAGTTCTTTTCTCTCTCTCAAATTATAGAGTTTTAGCAGCTGGATTTTGGAACCAACTCTACACAGTCCACACCATGTGTGTTACTGCCACAAATAATATTATTTTCATGTAATATCAATTTTTCACTTACCAAATTTCCAAGAAAAGTTCAAACCATTTTCAACCTGTATTATTCACTAGCCATTGCAATGGTGATTTCAATCAAAAGTATTGGATCCCACTTTAACCCAAGAAAGTAAGTAGTTAGAAAACTAGTACAAGTACATGCATGTTTTAGTTTAGTTTATTTTATTACATTACATATAAAAAATTACAGTATGTGTAGTGTGTACTCATTTTGTTTGCTTGTTGGTTCAGATATTGTTGACTGTTTGTTTAATAATAATAACAATGTTTCTGTTTGTGCAGTTTTAACATTATAGAAAGAAAGAAATCATAGAGAAAAGAAAAGAATGGTTATTTTTGGTGTTTGGTTACTGGGATAATTTCACCTTCACGTGACAGTTCTGCCATTGTGTCCGTGAGTTTTACCACCACTTTTCTGCACACTTGAATGCCAATGTTCTGTTCGATGAAATGTCTCAACAAAAGTTTCTTCAATGCATGAATGAAAAATGTGAAGCAAATCAACCAGAAATTGTAGATCTAATGAGTTAGGTTTTAGTAGGTGAATCAACTTCTACCCAATATGCATTAAAGAGTTTCCATAACTTCCACCAAAAATCAACAATGTCTATTCAATAGCAATAGCTTCTACTACAACAATAGGTCTTGTTTGGGGTCCTCTTCTTAAAATGGAGAGATTCTCATTCTCGTTTCTATTTTTCATCATTTATCTACTTTTTCTTTTCTTCACTCCTCAATTAGCTAGATCACAAAACGACGATTCAAAACCACTTTTGGCACTCAAATCCTCCATTGATATTCACAATAAACTTCCATGGCTACAACAAGTAAACGACGACGTTTGCACTTGGGTAGGTGTTAAAGACTGTTTCCAAGGAAGAGTTAGAAAGCTTGTACTCGAGCATTTCAACTTAACTGGGAAATTAGATTCAGATATCTTAAACCGTTTCGATCAACTTCGAGTTCTTAGCTTCAAAGGAAACTCACTCTCTGGTCAAATCCCTGATCTCTCAAATCTCGTTAATCTCAAGTCTATTTATCTTAACGATAACGATTTCTCTGGCGAGTTTCCTGTTTCGGTTTCGCTTCTTCATAGAGTCAAAGTTATTGTTTTATCCGGTAATAAAATCTCCGGCGAGATCCCGGTGGATTTGCTTAAGCTTTCTCGGCTCTATGTACTGTACTTGCAAGATAATTTGTTTACTGGTTCCATTCCGAGGTTTGACCAAACCGGACTTAAGTACTTGAATGTCTCGAATAATAGACTCTCCGGCGAGATTCCGGTGACGAATGCATTGATCCGGTTTAATACGTCGTCGTTTTCAGGTAACTTAGAGCTCTGCGGTGAACAGATCCACCGTGAATGCAAGAATAAAACTCTGTTATCACCACCGCCATTGGATGTGGGTCCGGTTGGAGGAAACACGAAAACGACGTCGTCGAAATCTCACCGTACGAAACTGATAAAGATAATTGGAGGAAGTGTTGGTGGGTTTATTTTGTTGTTAATTTGCTTGATTTTACTGGTGTGGGTAATTTGCAAGAACCGTAGGAAGAGAGTGGGTTCTGGTGGAGCAAGAAGAAACAAGGGTAATGCTGACGTGGCAGCTACAGAGGGTGAAAATCCCGGAGAAGGAGAGGGTAGAGGAAGTAATTACGAGGCAAAACAAGGTGGATTTGCTTGGGAAAATGAGGGTATAGGGAAACTGGTGTTCTGCGGAGTAGGGGATCGTGAAATGGGGTATAGTTTAGAGGATTTACTTAAGGCTTCAGCAGAGACATTAGGGAGGGGTATTATGGGAAGTACATATAAAGCAGTGATGGAATCAGGTTTTATTGTTACTGTTAAGAGGTTTAAAGATGCAAGGTACCCTGGGTTGGAGGAGTTTAGGGCACAGATAGAGTTAATTGGTAAGCTTAGACACCCTAATCTGGTCCCACTTAGGGCTTATTTTCAAGCTAAAGAAGAACGTCTTCTTGTCTATGATTATTTCCCCAATGGTAGCCTCTTCTCTCTTATTCATGGTACGTATCTCTTTAATTTTACAACTTATGTCAATGTATTTCTTATATTAATTTTTTTGGCCATTTAGTCTAGGAGTTGGAATTCACGGTTTAAAGGTCAACAAATGAGATGTTTTTGCACAGCTATATTTGTTAAAATCATAAATGTATCATTGTATGTGTAGTCTAGATCCTGAAAGGTTGGGGGGGTGTGACCTAAAAGTTGATCATCTTTTGATAATGGGGTCCTCATCCAATAATATGCATGCACTGAATGTTTCATTTCACTCTCCACAGGTTGATGTTAATTTAGTAGAATAGAGAGTGATTAGGGATTAGGGATAGAGACAAAAAGTGTTGCTTTCCATGACGAACGGATTAATGAATTAATGTAATTAAAGTCTTTTATGAATTAGTAGTATGTGTGATCTGAATCTGACAACTCATTTATGAATGTGACCCCATGTTAGTGTTGTCCTCTCTCTCAACCATTCAAAAATTAGAGAGTTTCTTTTGACATCTATATATATGTAACTCTATTAAAAACATAAAATATTTTAGGGAAATGTATTTTTGGGCGTATCCTAACTCTCATCAAGTCATAAAGGTATAAATCGGAAAAGTATTTTTAATTTCGATTGTTTTTAATTAAATGTTGATGCTTCTCGAAAATATATTTTCGGTTCCTAAAGACATATTTAGAAATTTACACTGATACTTAAGAAATACTTAGAATGCATTAAGAAATTCTCAAAAATTAAAGATTATTTAGCAGTTATGTGTGTAGTGTATAGCCACATACTTCTACGGTGATTTTAACATGAGATTTGGAATGTTTTAATATGACAATTAGTAATCTTTACCGTGATTAGTTGAGGGAGAATGGATCCCTGAGGTCAATTTTGATGCATTCATCATTCAATGTATTAGTAGCTGTTTTCATTTTATAATTTAAAAATACAAGTTTTAAATCAGAATTGCTTAATCTTGAATTAGTGACTACAGCAGCACATTGTTGGGTCCTATATTAAAAAAAGAAAATTCATAAATTCAAAATTTTATTTTGAAAGACTGTTACTATATGTTGTGAATTCAATGCCAATAACAAAGTATAGAATAAGGGAAGAATAAAGAACAAGGAAGAAGAAGAACACAAGAATTGGTTATAACTGTTATTCTTTACTTTCTCTTAGAAAACAAGATTACAAGTTTACAAGAATAACAAATAACCCTCTCACCCTAAATTAGGATTTGCTGTGATGGCAATGATGAGAGACTAGTATGCTATTTATAATAAAACCTAACATACTAACTAATGGGCTTTTTCCACAAGGCCCATTATACAAGCTAACTTAACAAATTAGGGTTTAAACACTAAAACCTAATTCGACAAGCATCCTTCGACAAATACATGCTAGAACCTTCTTCGACTACAGCAAGTACTTCGACCAACTAGAGTTCGATCCAAAATCCCACAAATCTCCACCTTGGACCTAACTCTACAGCATCAAGAGACACTAACTAGCTTTCTTCATGCAGCTTTATCAACTGCATACAGTGGAAAAACTTGCAACTTGGCAATGTTTTGGTGATCATATCAGCAGCATTGTGATCTGTCGAGACCTTCAGCACTTGGACTTCTCCACGCTCGATTACCCCTCTGACGAAATGCAGCCTCACATCTATGTGCTTGGTTCGCTCATGATAGGCTGAGTTCTTCGACAGGTGTATTGCACTTTGACTATCACATTTAACAGTGATACCTTGACCTTGAAGTTTCAGCTCCTTTGCAAAACCTTCAAGCCACAATGCTTCTTTCACAGCTTCAGTTAGGGCAATATATTCTGCTTCAGTAGTTGATAAGGCAACAACCTTCTGAAGAGTTGCTTTCCAACTAATTGCTGTACCAAACATAGTGAAAACATATCCAGAAATAGATTTTCTGGAATCCATACAACCTGCATAATCGGAGTCAACATAGCCTTCGACTGCTGCTTTACTATCTTCACCCAAGGCTCCACCATAAATTAAGACTCTGTTCAGAGACCCATTTATGTACCTTAAAATCCACTTTAACGCTTGCCAGTGAGCCTTTCCAGGATTCGCCATGTACCTGCTTACAAGACTTACTGCATATGCTATATCGGGTCTAGTACAGACCATAGCATACATCAAAGAACCAACTATATTAGCATATGGGATGCTATTCATATAGGTTCTTTCGACATCAGTACTGGGACATTGATCAATACTCAGCTTGAATTGAGGGTTTGTTGGAGTCACAACAGGCTTCGAGTTCGACATACCAAACTTGTCAAGAATCTTTCGTAGGTATGCCTCTTGAGATAAGCATAATTTCGACTGCTTTCTATCTCTTCGAATGTCAATTCCAAGAATCCTAGATGCAGCTCCCAGATCCTTCATGTCGAACTCCTTATTGAGTTCAGCCTTCACCCTCATTACATCTTCGACATTGTTGCTTGCTATCAGAATATCATCAACATAGAGCAACAAAATAACAAATGAATTTTCAGGTCGAAATCTGGAGTAAACACAATGGTCGAACTGACTTCTAATGAAACCTATGTGTTCCATGAACTTGTCGAATCTCTTATTCCACTGTCGAGGAGATTGTTTAAGTCCATATAAAGATTTCTTCAGTTTGCACACATAATCTTCTTTCCCCTTTTCGACATACCCTTCAGGTTGCCTCATCAGGATTGTTTCGTCTAAGTCACCATACAAGAACGCAGTCTTCACATCCATTTGTTCCAGTTCAAGGTCGAACTGAGCCACCATGGCAAGCAACATTCGAATGGATCTGTGCTTCACAACAGGGGAAAATACATCGTTGAAGTCGACACCTTCTTTCTGAGTGAAACCCCTTGCGACTAATCTTGCCTTGTACCTCTTCGACATTACTCCTTCAATTCCTTCCTTAACTTTGAAAATCCACTTACAGCTGACTAACCTTGCCCCAACAGGTTTCTTGATCAGTTCCCAAGTGTGATTATCATGAAGAGATTTCATCTCATCATGCATGGCCTTTAGCCATTCAGTCTTCATTCGACTCCTCATAACTTCCTTATAATCTCTAGGTTCTTCGTCTAGAACTTCACTTGCAGAGATTAAGGCATAAGCTACAAGATCTGCATATCCAAGTCTCTGAGGTGGTTTTATGACTCTTCGTTGCCTATCTCTCGACAATAGGTAGTCATCAACAGTTTCCTCAACATCATCAGAATCTTCTGTTTCTTCTTCGACTTCATCTGGGATACGCATTTCAGCATCAACATGCTCCACCTCAACAGGAATCTCTACCTGTTCCAGCTCTTCGTCAACATCATCAGTTTTCTTGAAAGCCATTTCCGTTTCATTGAAAACTACATCTCGACTGGTGATACACCTCCTGTGACCTGGCTCTAGGCACCATAGCCTATAAGCTTTTACTCCTTCAGGGTATCCCATAAACATGCATTTCAGAGCTCTAGGTTCGACCTTGTCTTGCCTAATGTGAGCATAGGCTACACAGCCAAATACTCTTAGTTTGTCGAGATCTGGTGGATGTCCCGACCAAACTTCTTCAGGTGTCTTCATATCTAATGCTGTCGAAGGACATCTGTTTATCAGATATGCTGCTGTCGAAACAGCCTCAGCCCAAAACACCTTCTTTAATCCCGCACTAGTCAACATGCATCTAACTCTCTCCAAAATAGTTCGATTAAACCTTTCAGCCAAACCATTTTGTTGAGGAGTACCTGCGGTAGTTCTGTGCCTTGCAATACCAGAGGCAGCACAAAAACTGTCGAACGCCTCATTGCAAAACTCAAGGCCATTGTCGGTTCTCAACCTCTTTACCTTTCTGCCAGTTTGATTTTCGACAAGAGTCTTCCAACTTTTGAAATTCTCAAAAGTTTCATCCTTAGTCTTCTGGATGAATACCCATAACTTTCTGGAATAGTCATCTACTATGGATAGAAAATACTTTGCTCCTGAATGTGATGGACACCTTGCAGGCCCCCAAAGATCAGCATGGATGTAATCAAGGGATCCATGTGTTCTTTGTTTGCCTTTGTTGAACTTCATTCTACAGGATTTTCCAAGTACACAGGGTTCACAAAACTTCAGCTTTTCGACTTTATCTCCACCAAGCAGATTTTGTTTCCCTAATTCGACCAGACCTCTTTCACTGACATGGCCCAATCTCATGTGCCAAATTTCTGTCTTCGACAAAGGTTTCGTGGATGCAACATTTGTCGAACCACTTACAACTTCAGCCTCAAGGGTATACAAGCCTTGTTTCTTCACGCCTCTCAAGACTTCCTTCGACCCTTTCATGACTCTCAGGATACTTTTCTCTCCTTGAAAAACATATCCTTTCTTGTCGAATTCACCAAGAGAAATCAAATTTCTCTTCAAATCAGGTACATACCTGACTTCAGTCAACAATCTTATTGACTCATCATGGAGCTTGAATCTCACAGATCCAACGCCTGCAATCTTGCAAGCTTTGTTGTTTCCCAGCAATACAGATCCACCATCTTGATCACATAATTCCTCGAACAAGTCTTTGTTTGGAGTCATGTGCCAAGTGCATCCAGAATCCATAATCCACTCCTTCGACGAGTTGTTGCTTGAAACCACAAGAACATCAGATGATTCGAAATCATCTTGGACAATAGCTGCATTGCCATTATCCTTACCTCCATGATCTTTCAGGCGTTCAGGGCACTCCTTTCTTGTGTGACCTACTTTCTTACAGTGATAGCATCTAATACCAGATGTGTCACCACTATAAGACTTCGACTGATTTTTACCTTTCTTCTTGTCGAATTTTCCTTTAACAGCCAAACCTTCACCAACCGTCGAAGGTTTATGCTCCTTACGTTCGTTCAAGTCTTTAGAGTACAAGGCTGATTGAACTTCTTCAAAGGTCAGGGACTCTCTTCCATACAAGAGGGTTTCTTTGAAGTGAGCATGTGATCTGGGCAAAGCGCACAACAATAACAACGCTTGATCTTCATCATCAATCTTTACATCAATATTTTCAAGATCAAGAATCAGCTTGTTGAACATATCCAACTGCTCAGCCAACACTTTGTCTTCAATCATCTTGAATGAATACAAAGCTTGCTTCAGGTAGAGTCGATTTACCAGAGATTTGGTCATATACAAACTTTCAAGTTTCACCCATAACCCTGATGCCGTCGTCTCCTTTGATACCTGTCGAAGAACCTTATCACCAAGGCTCAACAAAATTGCGCTGTGTGCTTTCTCGATCATGGCCGTCTTCTCTCTTTCTGTTAACGCAGCGTCCATCGACGTCGCTCCCTTCAACGCTTCCAAACAACCCTGTTGAACCAGTAGGGCTTTCATCTTCAAGCGCCATAGACCGAAATCATTCACTCCGGTGAACTTTTCAATCTCATATTTTTGTCGAAGGCATCTTCTCCACGCTCACCGCACCAATTTGTTGTGAATTCAATGCCAATAACAAAGTATAGAATAAGGGAAGAATAAAGAACAAGGAAGAAGAAGAACACAAGAATTGGTTATAACTGCTATTCTTTACTTTCTCTTAGAAAACAAGATTACAAGTTTACAAGAATAACAAATAACCCTCTCACCCTAAATTAGGATTTGCTGTGATGGCAATGATGAGAGACTAGTATGCTATTTATAATAAAACCTAACATACTAACTAATGGGCTTTTTCCACAAGGCCCATTATACAAGCTAACTTAACAAACAAGCTAACTTAACAAATTAGGGTTTAAACACTAAAACCTAATTCGACAAGCATCCTTCGACAAATACATGCTAGAACCTTCTTCGACTACAGCAAGTACTTCGACCAACTAGAGTTCGATCCAAAATCCCACACTATACTCTTTGATTTTTTAATAATGCGTTGAAATGTTCATTCCAATAATAAAATTCTTAAGCATGACAAATTAGACTTCTTTATTATATTATCTGCAGTTGTTGCTGTTGTTTGTTCCTTCTAATATTTTTGTAATCATGCATGACTCCCTAACTAGAATTACTATTGAGAGGATTTTTTTATTTTATTTTTAATTTTATCAAAGTAAAGGTGAAGGAAAGAAACATGGATACACAACAGTGTTTTCTTTCATAACTGTTTAAATTTTAAAAGCTGTTATATTTCAGATTATAGGTATTTATATAAAGAAAGTGTTATTCTTTTTGCTCGATAATGCAAAAAGTGAGCATAAAGCATAAGCATTATACCTAACCATGAAACGGCTCTCTTGTTCATTAATGTAAAGGATGAGATAAAATACTTTGTGGCTGTGCATTTAACAAATCAACAAGTTAGCCTTTCTTTTTTTCTTAGAAATAATGCTGGAATCATGCTTATCAAAAAAAAATAATAATGCTGGAATCATAATATCAAAGACTAGAAAGTAACCAATAATGCCAATTGCTAGGATCCTCACGTGTATTTTGCTTTGCTTTGTTTCTTTATTTAATGTTATTGAGCTTTTTTAGTCTAGGCAGGTTTACCATATTTTGTTCTTTGTAAAAGTGGTGTACATTTTTATCATATGATTGAAATTGTCTATGTTTGTTGCGTGACCATTTTGGAATAATCAATTTTAAATCAAAATATAGATGCAATTTTTGTTAAACAATTATAGGTTCAACTATTAACAACAACACTCGTGTTTTCTTTTGCTAAGGAAGTGAATTGAATAAAAACTTCTGTATATTTTGACATTGCTATAATACTAATGTAAGTATTATATGTACCATAGGATCTGTTGACAAATTAATGACTGTAAAATGCAGGATCGAAAACATCTAATGGGGGAAAACCTCTTCACTGGACATCATGTCTTAAAATCGCAGAAGACCTAGCAACAGGCATTCTCTATATCCACCAAAACCCTGGCATGACACACGGAAACCTGAAATCTTCTAATGTGTTACTTGGTTCCGACTTTGAGTCCTGTCTCACTGATTATGGTCTCAATGTGTTCCTCAATCCCGACACAATGGACGAACCAAGTGCCACTTCTTTTTTCTATAGAGCACCCGAGTGCCGCAGTTTTCAACGGCCGCAAACTCAATCTGCTGATGTATACAGCTTTGGTGTCCTTCTCCTCGAGCTTTTGACAGGCAAAACACCCTATCAAGACCTTGTTCAAGCACACGGTTCGGATATACCTAGATGGGTTCGGTCAGTACGCGAAGAAGAGACCGAGTCCGGGGATGATCCTCCCTCATCAGGCAATGAAGCATCTGAAGAGAAGCTTCAGGCTCTTTTGAACATTGCAATGGCATGTGTTTCAGTTAGTCCAGAGAATAGACCTACAATGAGAGAAGTTCTAAAGATGATAAGAGATGCAAGAGGGGAAACTCATGTCTCATCTAATAATAGTAGTGATCATTCACCTGGTAGATGGTCAGATACTGTTCAAAGCTTGCCAAGGGATGAACATCTTAGCATATAATTTGAAACTTTTACTTTTATTTTTGATGCATTCTTATTTTTCTTGAATTGGTTATTGAATATTGATTTCGGACATGACTAGGTGATAATGTTGTAAAGACATACATTCTTAATCTCTTGCTTTGTGAGTAGATGCTGGTTAGAGGTAAATTAATGGATATGGATTCATATCAAAGATTCAGCTTGCAAAAGATGTAGAGAGCAATCCTTTCAGGTTTTAGACTTTTTGTTTTTCTTCTTCTATTTTTTTGGTCTCCGGCTAATAATGATCAATGCTACAATGCAATCGATGCCTTTTGTATGTAATCTTAAATTAATGTTTCATTATGGTTATCAATAATTTTTTTGGTAAAATATCATTTTTGATCCCGTTGTTAGCTGACAATTTCGAATAAAGAATAATTGGATATCAAAACAATATTTCGAATAAGCATATAAGGAGGTTGATATCAATGATGAATATTGGTGGGAAATATAGAACCATTGTTCTAAAAGACTCTTCGATTTCCAGTGATAGATGATGGATTTCGATTTGGGATTTTTAGTGTTTAAAATATAAAGAGTTCCTTTGTGAAAATGTGCCAGAATTGGAAGCTGTCCAGGCAAATGGTTTAATTCGAATCGAAGAAAACTAGCAAAATACTTCGCTGACACAGGGTTCGAATTTCAAATGAGAGCGTCATTCTTAGAAGACGTGTGGAAGTCAGTAAACGTAAGGAGCCTGCATGCTTCGAACGTGGCATGATTTTAGAGTAGGACCGTTGGGGTCAGGATACTATAAATAAGTGTTTTTATGTTAGAATTGAGGGTGTTCATTTCGTGTACTAAAAAATCTCAAACACTCAAATTACCATGATTTAAGGGAAACGAGTTAGAAGACAAAATGTACGTATTGAACATCATGATTCTTTATAATTTCAATACAAGTCTTTTTATATTTCTTTCACTTTTACAGTACTTTTGCTCTTAAATCTTTCGATTTCCTTTTATTTCCTTGTTTTACTTGCTTTCAAACACATTTATCTCTTTAGAAACTTCACTTTTACTTTATCCTTTTGTTCAAACACTTCATATTTCCAGAAACTGTTATATTCTCAGAAACTCCTTATCTTTACATTCAAGTATTAAATCTTAAGTCTAATTCGAAACCTTTGTACATTCAGTCAGTTTATTACTATAGACAATCTTAGAGATATTTCTTAAGAATCTCACATTCGACATTAACATACAATATAAATTCATCAAGATAATGGGTATGAACATAGAAATGAGTTATGACACATGTGTCCTAGGATCAATCTAGTCGATCCTGCAAGTAACCAATAATAATCAATAAATTGGAAGACTAGCGGTTGTTTACTAGAAATCACTGTAAACAATTTGGCACGCCCAATGGGACAGTGTCATAATAAAAAGTTCTATCAAACTGATTAGAGAATTTTAGGATCTTCTGAGTTTGGAGCGCGTTTCGGTACATGAACCTTCGAAGCGGAAAAATAAAGAATAATAATCCACATATACCCAGAAGACAACGTACCAAAACAATGGTTAACATAACCAACCAAGATAGGGGACAAAATCCCCCACAGGGGGCTGCAACAATCGTCTCAAGTTCGATTGTGAAGGAAAATTGCGATCAAAAGCGCAGCGGAATTTAAAATTTTCCTTTAGCGATCCTTACGAATGAACATGGTCAGTGATAGAAATATTTACCTCTTGTGGCGATTCAGACCTTTGATGTTGTGATCACGAGCGTTGATGAAGAACAACGCCTCTACTCAGTCCACACGAACAGATCACTTCCGGTCACAGTGCTAGCTGATCACGAACAGAAACCTTGAGTGAGAGAGAGAATCAAAAACGAAATTGCATCAAGTGAAATTGCTTCATCACAAGGGATCTATTTATAGAATCACTCGTGTGGGCTACAAGCTAAAAGCCCAATTAAGGCTATAAGCTAAAAGCTCAATTAAGCTTATGGACATCATACCTTATGATGTACCATATATCACTTATCCATGTGGTACCTTACCACTTTCCGTATTACACTTAAGTGCACCGTATCTTACGGTGTTCCTTATTTATTCTATCTCTCATCAACCTGTCCTTATGTGTGTGACCCTGTAGGTTTTCGCGACGTTGGCAATTATATTAAATCACACATTTAATATAATAAACAGTGAGCGGTATCTAGCAACACATCATTGTTACCCAAGTCACGAAAATGTCATGTGATATGACCAAACCTTTTCCGTGATAATATTTGTGTTGTACAATTACCCTTTTGCCCTCATGTCTATATTTAACACAAGGCATACACTGTGTTATCCTTGTCCAGTTTAATATTGGGCGCTTAGACATTTATCCTGTTATGCAGGATGAGCAAATTCCATCTAGGTCACTCATGTCCCTTAGCATGCTTTGTGAAGTACCCATCAACCGTCTTTATAGTCATCCAGTTACGGATGACGTTTGATCAGCAATAAAGTACTTGACTCTACATCTAGGGTCCATAGTGGTTTCAGGTCGAAGGGTGGTATACACCATTATCATCATGAGAATAACTTATGACACTTTGCATAACATTCTATGTAGTATTCTCATAGCGGGTCAATCCAGTATAAATATTACTCCTAATATTCATACCTATGTCAAGACTTGATAACTCCTTATCTATGATCCATGAGATGTGATCATCAATCTATCTTCATAATAATCTTAATGCTTTAATGTTATCCCACTTCACATTAAAGCTTGACTACGGATACTTTAAGAATAGTGTCTTATGTTTAATGGGATCTCATGATTAAGTCACACTTAACATTTCATTAAACAAATAAACCATTCTAGAGACTTTATTATTTTAGAAAGCAAACATAATAAAGAAATGCATTTTATTATTAATAAATAATTCGATACAAGTACCAAAAGTATTGGCCTCTAGGTCCTACACCAACAATCTCCCACTAGCACTAGAGCCAATCAGGCATACCCCTAATACCCATAGATCTAGTATGTCCATCATGCTTCAGCTGCGCAAGAGGCTTTGTTAATGGGTCAGCAACATTGTCAAGTGTAGGTACTCTGCATATTTTCACATCTCCCCGATCGATTATCTCTCGAATGAGATGATAACGCCTAAGTATGTGTTTGGATCGTTGGTGAGATCTAGGCTCCTTAGCTTGTGCGATAGCACCATTGTTATCACAATAGAGATCAATGGGATCCACAATGCTATGGACTATGCCAAGTTCACTAATGAACTTCTTGATCCAAACAGCTTCCTTTGCTGCAGTTGAGGCAGCAATATACTCAGCCTCGGTTGTAGAATCAACAACTGTATCTTGCTTTGAACTTTTCCAGCTCACAACGCCACCATTTAAACAAAACACATAACCAGATTGCGATCTAAAGTCATCCTTATCTGTCTAGAAGCTAGCATCGGTGTATCCAATTACAGCAAGCTCTTCCTGACCTCCATATATCAAGAATGAGTCCTTGGTCCTTCTCAAGTACTTAAGGATATTCTTGACAGCTACCCAATGAGCATCACCGGGATTAGACTGGTACCTACTCGTTGCACTTAAAGAATACGAGACATCTGGTTGAGTACATAGCATGGCATACATGATAGATCCTATTGCAGATGCATATGGAATCTTATCCATGCGATCCCTTTCTTCCTTACTTGAAGGGGATTGTGTTTTTGACAGACACATGCCATGTTGCATAGGTATGAATCCTTTCTTGGAATCATGCATATTAAAGCGTCTCAACACTTTTTCTATGTATGTACTCTGACTTAGGCCAAGCAGTTTTTGTGACCTATCTCTATAGATCCTGATTCCTAATATATAGGCTGCTTCACCTAGGTCCTTCATTGAAAAGCATTTCCCTAACCAAGTCTTCACTTGTTGCAAGGTAGGGACATCGTTTCCAATGAGTAATATGTCATCTACATATAATACCAGGAATACGATCATGCTCCCACTAACCTTCTTGTAGACACAAGGCTCATCTTCATTCTTGATGAATCCATATTGTTTTACTGTTTCATCAAAATGAAGATTCCAGCTTCTGGAAGCTTGCTTCAATCCATAAATTGATCGCTGTAACTTACATATATTTTGGGCTTCTTCTGGTATGTCAAATCCTTCAGGTTGTGTCATGTACACATCCTCAAGAAGATTCCCATTAAGGAAAGCAGTTTTGACATCCATCTGCCATATTTCATAATCATGATATGCAGCGATAGCAAGTAAAATCCGAACAGATTTAAGCATTGCAACTGGTGAAAAGGTTTCATCATAGTCAACCCCATGAATTTGTTTATAGCCTTTTGCAACCAGTCTTGCCTTATAGGTATGTACCTTACCATCCATATCAGTCTTCTTTTTGAAGACCCACTTGCATCCTATAGGGTTAACTCCTATAGGAGACTCTACCAAGGTCCAAACTTGGTTTGTGTACATGGAATCCATTTCAGATTTCATGGCTTCTAGCCACTTCTCCGACTCAGGACCAGTTATGGCCTCTTGGTAGGTCACAGGCTCATCTTGATCCATGAGTAATACATCACCCTGATCACTTATGAGATATCCATATCTCTCAGGTTGTTGACGTATCCTGCTTGACCTACGCTGGTCTTGTTCTACTTGAGCAGGTTGCTCTTCCACAACTACTTGTGTTTCCTGCTCTAGTTCCTCCATAGGTGTATCAATACTTTGTGGTTCTTGAATTTCTTCAAGCTCTATTTTCCTCCCACTGATTCTTTTGGAAATAAAATCCTTTTCTAGAAAAACTCCAGTTCGAGCGACAAACACTTTGCCCTCAGAAGGATTTTAGAAGTAATACCCTCTTGTTTCTTTAGGATACCCCACAAATAAGCATTTGTCAGATTTGGGCTCAAGCTTAGTTGAAATTTGTCATTTCACATAAACTTTGCAACCCCAAATCTTCATGTAAGACATATGTGGTTTCTTACCACTCCATATCTCATAT